GATTAATTGATTATTAAATTAGTCATCGATTATTTTAATAATCGATTAGTCGTCGATTAATTGATTAATCGTGGCAGCCCTACTTTCAGCCCTGATATTCATTATGCTAATTGCATCGATTTTTAAGGAAACTAACCACATTCTTCTGCAACAACACAAATGTTGTTGTAATAATTTAAAATGTAATTAATTCTGAAAATCCTTTCAGGACTCCACCTTGGTGTTTCAGGACCCATAGTGGGCTCCCGACCCTGACTTTGGGAACCACTGGTTTAGACTGCATGTGATTACTGTTTGGGCTCCTTGTGACCTTGATTCTCATACCTGGTTTGAATGATGATGATGATGATGATAATGATGATGATGATGCGTTTATCGATATCAAAACATTGCAAATTGTTCCTCATATCTTGCAGCCCTAATTGGCAACATTGTATTTATTTATTTATTTATTTATTTACCCACCCAAAAATGCTCTAGTTCTGTAAAATATTAGTCAGATTACTTACTTCCTCCGACCATGCCTGGTGTTTGGCAGCAGCAGGCCAGCAGCAGCAGCAGCCCGGGGTCCAGGTGAGGACAGGCGGTCATCACTGGCTCTTCTTCCCCCTTCTCTCCTTCTGCCGTTTTTATTTTTTTATTATTTACTGAAGCTCTCCTCTCCGAGTCAGCACTGCTTCCACATCTCTTTTCATCGTCTTCAAACGCAGAGCACACCGCAATGTTTCCACTCCCAACTTGGACAAAAAGTAGGTCAGCGGGAATCAAACCCGCAGCAGGGCTGATTTCAGATGAACCTCCACACCTGCCCGGGGGGAAGCTAACAGGTAGTCCTCCGCGCACCTCGGCTCCGGCTCCGGCAGCGATAAAACGCGCTTTCCCCTCCGCCTGTTACCAGAGGACCACACCGCGGATACACTGAAGCAGATGAGGAGGCAGATGAGGAGGCAGATGAGGAGGTCATGCAGGAGGCTCCGGAGAGGATAAAATGTCTGCAGGAGCTTCGGTAACTCCTCCAGTCAGGCTGGAAAACAACCAGCAGCAGGTTCTCAGACCCTGTCACCAAACAGGAGGAGGAGGGGGAGGAGGAGGAGGAAGGAAGGAAGGAAGGAAGGAAGGAAGGAAGGAAGGAAGGAAGGAAGGAAGAGCTGGAGAACCAACTGTTGGTTGCATTATCTCAAGTTGTTTTGTAAAAAGTTTTTTTGTAAAAAAATAAAAATCAATCTCTGACTTTATAAAGTTATAATGTCAGGGTCACACTGTTGTTTTCATGTTTTTTTTTTTAGCCTTAGCTACTATTTTTTACTGGTCTATTTCAATATCAAAACATTTAGCTCAGTAAAGGTGCCACGACTTTTAGTTTTTGTAACTTTATCTTTATAATATTTAGCTTTGTTTACTGATATCATCCATCATAGAAAAACAATGAGAGCTCTCGTTGTTCTCAATCTGCCTCACTCTTTGTCTCCTTGTGCTACTTTAGGTACTGGTCTGCTACTTTTAGCTTTTAAACAGTCTTCTACTGCTTTTAGCTTACAGCTTATGAAGGACTGAAACTAACATGATTAGAAATAAAAGCAGAATTATGTAAAAGGACCAATAAATAAATAAATGCACTTAAAATGCACCAATTTACGGAAGCCGAGAGTGGCCGTTTTCTGCATTTAATTATTTTTTATGATTTTCTCGTGATAACGAGATATGTCATTATCACAAAATAACGAGGAGCGTTTCCTCGAGATAGCGAGATGATTTCCAGATGGTTTTCCTCTTGTGTATCGTTCAGTAACCATGGAGACAGCCTGGTCCCCTCCCAGCATTGAGACAACAGTGAAGAAATCAACACTGTGAATTAACACCAACACTGGGTGTCAGTGTACTCAGAAAGTGTTACAATAACACCAGGGGATGTTAAATCAACACCCAAAAGTTTAACACTGAAATTTTAACACTCCTGTTTTTGAGCCAACAAGTGCTCCTGTTCATCGATGAAGTTTATCATTCATTCATTCATTCATTTACCATTATTTAACCAAACAAATCCCATTAAGATCACAGATCTCTTTTGCAAGGGCAGCCTGGACCTGAAGGCAACCTATTGTTCATAATTTTGTGTCATTTTTGTATCATTACACAAGCTAAAACTCATTTGTTTGTCTACAGACATGTTTTATAATTTAACCTTCATATTTATTTTTCCAGCTTAGTCCAAATAAATTATATATCTTAGCAAATAATTTACACACACACACACACACACACACACA